TTGGGACCATTTATAAACTGTTTTATATTAAGGTGATGGGATTATATAATTCACTAGCAACTCCTCACATGGAACCAACGTGAATCAACTGTGGGAGGGACTGGAGTGGCCACAATTTCAAGCCTAAGATTTGGAACTATATGGGTCAAAAGCCTGGTACCTAGTGAACCCTAAAACAGATTAAAATAGCTGGTACATGAATGTTCATACCACTAAAATTTGACCAAAATATACCAAAATAGGGTTTGACCTACACCTATATAGTCTTGGATGGTTTTGGGCACTGGATCACCGAAGTTTTGGAGCCTGGCCGGCGCGCAACAGGCTTCGTTCGCCCTTCGAGTTCAGCACAGCCAAGAGGGGCAGGGGAGCGAAGGGAATCCCAACGACATCAAGGAGCTCCTAGGCACGACCACGTTTCAGCTACGAAACCCCTTGGCCCTTGGGTATCAAAACAGGCTGGGAACCCAAACTAAAATGGAGCTTTGTAATGGTACCATATTATATCATCCATTGGGACGTGTCCATTGCCAGTTTTCATTGGAGGATACCATCGAAAATCTAGCAACCGCTAGCAAATTTGGAAGTGCTTTGGGCTGCTGTAACCAATTTTTACGGGTTCTATGCTGTTCAATTACAGTATGCTCAATTAAATGTCTATGGCTCTTCTCCGCAAGTAGAATCCGAATGTTCATAAGAGTGACCCAGTGCAAGGTCCTTTCGCACCCATTCGTCTTGCAATACTCATCATTCGTTGACAAAACGTCATAGCAATATATGGGCGTATCCCTTCGAAAATCTTCGAAAATGATGATAACTAACCATCAAATCTGATCAATTCAGAGCTGTCCCCCTAAATTTTCCCCAAAAAATGCCATGGCATGGCCATGGCATGGCAATGGCTTTCCAACTGGCGCCACAAAACTCAGACCCGCACAGCACCACCCTTGGGGCTGAAGTCTTCAGCATCGACGTAGAGCCAATGCTTTCCCTCCTCGAGGTTCAAACCTCTCAGCCGCTTGCAGAAGACCTGGCCGCAAGATGGGGGCGCCATGACAGCATAGTGACATAGTGGCTGGCATCCATGCCTAGGCTAGAGTTGTATGGATCCTGTGGCTATCTGATTTATCTACGGCTGTAGATTTTTCTTTGGGTTCGACAAGTGATGATAGATGATAGATAAATGTAAATGATCATACAGGACACTTCCTGGAAAAAGATGCCAAAGTCACCAAAACATATCAAAACCCCCAACTCGTTGGCATAAGGGTCAGATTTGGAACACCTCATCTCGGGATGGTTAAACGGTTAAACCTTGGCTTCCGGCAGTGAGTTGGCCATAAATTTCATCAAAGTCGTAAGGATACACCCTTGTATCAGTCAAATCTAAATCATCTATGTCACGTACATAGAGGTTTCTCTTACTAAACTTGAAGTTCTTGTTCCGATCCTTTTGTGATTTTAGATTTTCTTTTGCTTTCTTAGGGTTGTAATCTTCATATTTAGTTAAACCTGCGACTTTATCCAATGAAGCAGTCAAGAAGGCAAAACTGTCCTTGAAACTCAACCTTTGAAATGCAAAGGTTACAAACTTTCTGAGTTCTGCGCTATTACATCTATCCTTCTGTCTTCTGCTAGATCATGTGCTTTCTCTATGATCAAATGAGCATCATAGCTTTAAGATTATGAAGGAAGCGGCACTTTAAACCTTCTCATACTGTAATCTAAGTGACATTTTTCATGGGCGCATCCCCTATACTTGCCTGTAAAGTGGCATATCTCACATCATCCTTTTCAAACTGTTCACCGCAAATGAAGCAATGAGTGGCATTATTGACTTTTCTAATGTCTTTTGCTGTTTTTATGGGTTCTTTGTTCTCCTTCATCTTCTCCATACTTTCATCGTTAATTTCAATCATCTTTTCTTTTAAAACATCCATACAATCCTCACCTCTGTAAAACTCTTCGGTTGAATTGTCAATTGCATTCACTGCATTAATCATAAAACCACAGGGTCTATGATGTTGGTATTTTTCAGTCTTTACTGTTTTAGTGCTGACCGTTCCATATTTCTGGGTCAAACATTCAGCCGACATAGATGACAAAGGGTGTTTTTAATTGTTTGAAATGATTTTGGAATTTCATTGCTTCATCTTCACTTGGAATTTTGATTTGTTGTCCTTCAACTGCCATACAACCTTGTTCAACGTATGTATAAATGTATTCTCATCTCTGAAAGGTTCAGGCAATGATTACAGGTATGAATTTTATTTTTTCTTTTGGTAATCTGTCTTCCCATAAGCCTGCTATAACCTTTGATAAATATACATAGTGGAAAGTATCATGTTCTTCATCTTCAATTTTGAGTAGATTTATGTGATGAGTTGCTTTTGTAATTCTGGTTTTTGATTATATAATAAAATATAATGTTGTCTTGATTTTCTAGTTTTTTCCTTTTGCGAAAATACATTGACTAATGATAAACCTTGGTTATTTTCTTCTAATATATCTATGCCAATATTTGATGATGGAAAAATTACATTATCCCAGTTGATAGTTTCATCAATTTTCTTATATAGAATGGTTGATCCTACAGGCGTGTCCCTTGTCATAAATTTTATAAACTCCGCATTGGATACAATATTTGAAACATTTATTGTCTTCATTCTGAATGTTGATACACGCTTTCTTGTCTTGTATCCGTTTTGGAAGTTCAATGAATGTCCCACCTCTTGGATTGTATTTGTCATAGTTTATTCTTATCTTTTCAATTTCTAATAGCACTAATCCACTCTCACTCAGTTCCATCTTTTCACTTTGAAATTCAATTTCCGTTGCCATTTGGGACATAACATAAGGTATGTCTTCTGCGTAGCCTCTTTTTCTGAAGACACCTATTATATCAACAATGATTTTCATACCGTTCTTTTCATTCAATGTTTTTCAATCCTGTTTTCTTGTTCAATCAGTAGTTCCAACGCTTGAATGCCTCTTAAATCAATGTTTGTAATTGAAACGGAGTTGGCATAATCCTCAAAAGCGCTGGTTTCTTCTACGGTGTTTGATGCAGTTGGTGGTCTAACTCCTGTACGTTTCTTGTTCTCGTTTATGTTAATCCATTTGTCACTTTTTGTCTTTCTTATGTGATATAGTTTGTAATTCATTGTTTGTCTGACTTTAAGTTCCTTCATCAACTTTCCCGACAAAGGTTTTGACCTCTCATACTTGTAGGAGTTCTCACCTCTCTCTCCGTTTTTTATTGACTACTTCCGCCCGTTGGGAGGTTAGTAGGTAATCTAGTGCTGACTGGTCTATATCTGACGCCATATAATGTAATCCTATATTATGAGGTAATATTTCTTCCAGTAGTTTTTGGGGCAGGGTTGGCGATTGTGATTTTTGGGAGTTGGGTTGAAAATGAATGGATAAACATTATCAACAATAGCAGTCCTTAATGTTGATATTTTTTAAGCAAACGGTTGGTACAGTATTTCTTACAAATTCAAGTGTACAGTACAGTGTTTCTATGTTTTGAAAGGTTGGATTTGCTTGATATTGTTTTCCACAGCCAGGGCAGGTTATGGGTGTTGATAAGTTTCTGAAATAGTTTTCACCCGGTGTTTTTTGTTGTAACTTCCGTCAGGATTTCATCTTGACATTTTGCTATTGGAGTTGATGTTGGAGTTTCAGTATTCAATGTTTGAAACATTGCGTCAAAGACATCATCATTGACTTCTTGATGGGTGCCATCGCAGGCCATAAAGCAGAGCATAATTTACGTTATTTTATAAGGCGTCATTTCTTTCAGTGATTTTGGGGTGGCATATGGATTTGGTTTTCGGTTGGTGTTTGGTTCTGCTTAATGGTGTGTTTATCATACAATCCTCCACTGCGACTGCCAGAGGTCTGTGCCACTGTGGTGGTCTGCTTGTTTCTGCTTTCGCTCCCCGCATCGCACTTTTTCTTCCTTTTGTCTGGGGTCACTGGGGGTTGCTTTGGCGGTTTGCTCCCCCATTTCTCCCAAACCTCTCCCAACCCTCCCATCCCTCAAAGTGCTAGACGGTTACAAATGATGAACCTTCTGAACAAGCAGGTCAAGCAAAGAATGACGAGAACTACATGTATAATATGTGTATATATATATATGTGTGTGTGTGCGTGTGTGTGAGGATGGGTTCAATACACAATATAACATATCTGAAGAGGGGTGCGGATTGACAGTCCAAATGTCATTCATGCTGTTCATAGGAAGCCTTCTTTACAAAACAGTCTTCAAAAATCCTCATTTGAAAACAGGATTGACTAAGTCCAAGTACATTCATCCTTGAAGCCTTCTCCGAACCCTTAAAAGTTCCAACATCTCCTCGGCATACTCATCAGTGATATCTTAACCTCAATGCAGGCAATGACAAAACAACTGTCAAGGGCAGTTGGGGTGAAGGATAGGGATCCGATTTCTCTTCGGGATGTCTCTACAAGGTCAGTGAGGTATTCAACATCAATGACCCTCTGGTTCAAGGCATCGGTGACTTGGACTAAACTACCCGACTTGGAGTTGAGAACACCGTAACTATCTAATTTGTATCATCCCAGTCCTTCAACTTGTTCACTTCACAGAGCAAAGTTCGGTAATTAATGTCACTGCTTCTCACATCCACAATACTGGAAAACACCTAGGCACGACACTTGTTAGCATCCATGACACAAAGCAAATCTCAAAATGGAGTTGCAAATGACATGACTGGGCAGTGTTTCTTTTCTCAATCAGCCCTTGGGGCGAGAGGTAGGAAATTGCCCGGCACACGAACCGCAACGGAACCAAGAAGTCGGGTCTTCAGTGTGGCAATCTTCACACTGCGCGGACCCGCCGGCCCACCGTGCCAAGTTCACTCTATACAGCAAAAAGAAAGTTATGCCCCTCACAATTGGCAACAGGTAAGTAATGCACATTGGAATCATTGGAACACAGCATCATGACATGAGTGTTAATTGTTGCAATTGTTCGAATCAAAACAAGTGAAGGGCTGGTTGAAGGGCTGGTCTAGAGCCATGTAGTGCAGCCCGTCTCGGAGCATCTCAGGCAACTCTCAACACTGACGCTCCGGGAACTATGCCAGCCGAACTGTGGTTAAACTCTGACACGCTTGTCACTGCAGGAGGACACACTGCAGCCACGAAGGTTAATGTCCAAGATCGTCTGATTTTTGCTTTCGTTCAAAGCTTGAACAAGCCTTTCAGCCCCGGCGTCTGTGATGTTGTTGCCAGACAAGTCGATCATCATCAAAGCTGTCTCCTTGTTCTCTTGCAATGCCAAGGCAATCTCATTCACGGTGTCATCATTGATGTCACAATATGAAAGGTTAACGACTTCTAACGACCTGTTCTTCCTCAACGCACGTGCAATGTCTGCAGCGCTCTTCCCCATCATCTGGTTGAAACCCAAGTAGATAGCTTTGAGTGCCGAGTTCGTCCTTAAGGCTTGGGCTAAATGTGAAGCTCCATCACGATCCAGCACACCATCGTTCACCCGTAGACTGGTGATGCGGGAATTGGTCCCCAAAGCTTTGGCTATGGCTCCGATGCCTCGAGCTGTGATGCCTCCATTGCCATTAATGTTTAACTCTTTCACTGTCTCGTTCTTCTTCAAAGCTTCAGCAAGTACAAAAGCTCCGAGGTCTGTCATGTCACAGCCGCCTAGATTGAGCTTCTCCACAGCGGAGTTCTCATTGGCGATGACTTCGGAGAATGCCATAACCCCCTCATCCGCGAACTTGTTGCCATAGAGGTCGAGCGTCTTGATGGTGTTTTCCTCCGCATTTGCCACCATTGCCTCAGCCAAGGCCTTTGCTTCACCCTGCGTGATGTTTTTGAAATTGAGTTGTATCCCATCAATCGTGCCCTGCTCAATTTGCTGGATGATGCTCCGAATGTTCTGGCCCACTCCTTTCTTCGGGCTCTCCGGGCTCTCCTCTTCCTGGGCGACCTGCTCTTCCTCATGGTGTTCCTTTTTCGCCCCTCGCTCCTTGAGAGCCTTCTCCAAGTCCAACTTCTTCTTGGTGTACTCAAGGATCTTGGAGTTGGCCATCTCTAAGGCTTCTGCAAGACTGTCCGTGCACTCTTGTGACGCAATCCATTCAGAGAAGTCCGAGGGCTTCAGGTCAATGGGAGCTGGATATCCACCACGTACGCCATCCGGCATTGCGAGGAAGGATACGAACACCCACGGTGGCACACTACTTTGTCTACTGTTTCTCTCTTGATGATGGCGGTAAGGAAGCAGTTGATGCATGCTGATTGTGTTCTGAGACTTGCTTTGCAATTTGGTTCTGACTCAATCATCCGAGCGCCCCGGCGCAACAAAGAAGTAGACGATGCAGACAACGCAACGCGGCCGGTCGGCCGGTCGGCCCGGTCGGCAAAACAGAAGTGAAACCATAACAACCTTAACAATCCTGACAACCCCAAGCGAACAATCTAACAAAGCAACAGAGAGAAGAGAACAACACCAATCAATAGAAAAGAACATAGAAAATAATAAGACAATACTTCGATGACACATATCCTTCATATAACCGTATAACCCTAATCGCAACTAAAACCCATAAAACTTTACCAACATATAACTATAGCATAATTAGAACCCATAAGAAAACGACAAAGGAGGAAAGAAAACAAGAAGGGAAAGAATGAATGAGACTAACAAGGAAAAGATGAATGAGAAAAAAGATACTCAGGAAAGAGAACAAAAATGGTAACATTTGTGAACATGGATGAGGGGCAAAAACCAGAAACAAAGGAGAGCAAAAAAGGATAATGGGTGAAGAGTTTTAAACGTTGGAGATCCATCACAAGTGCTGCAACGGCTCCACCTTGCAAGGGCCGCAGTACTCAGCACCGAAGACCAGTACTCCAGGCGCATACCGCTGGAGGATCCCCAAATCTGCGGCCCCGCGCTGGGCCGTCCGTCTGGTGTGGCTGCACAAATGTCTCTAAAAGAACATCACTATAATATGCAGAATAGTACAAACACACACATACATAAGTATGTATATATATATACATCATTGGATATCCATGTATATGTATATATGTGATTATATATATATATATATGATTGTGTATATACTTATTCTTCGATATATACATAAAGGACACCTTTTTTCCCCTGACCCGCAGCATTTTCTCCCAAACGCCATTGACCTGGGACTTGGATTCTTGGATGCCCTCGGATCATCAGCCGGTGGGCTGAAAAGTACCCCAGCGAAGTTCGATGTCTGTCCCAGCCTGGTTGGTGGTATACCTACCCCTCTGAAAAATATGAGTCAGTTGGGATATGAAATTCCCAACTGAATCGAAAAAATGTTCCAAACCACCAACCAGCAGCTATAACCCCCATTAAAACATATTAAAACTCGGATTGTCCATTGCCACGTTTGATGAACGGCTAAATCAGCCAACATCACCTCCACAGCTTTCCACCCTTGAGGCTGTTCGACACCTCTGGCCGCACCCAGCGGGCCTGGTGGCCCAGGCCTGAGCACCCCAGAAACATCATGGACATCTGAATCCCTATTGAAAAATGGATGGGTTCGTCCCATTTGTATATCATATCATATATATATATATGGTCTGAAAAGTCTACAAACATATGACATATATATATATATATATCATATACATACATATGCTATATGATAGATATATGCCATGGTCAACTGAAAAGTCTACAATCCAACTCAGTTGACCATGGCATATATCATATCTGATCCAAGCTACTGCATGTTAGTAACTCATCCATTTTCATCCCAAGAATCAATGGATTTAGGGAACATTGAACCCGGAAGGCCCATAAAAACCTACAGGGTGGGCCAGGATGGGGCCCCAGTTCGTTGGCTAAGTTGGTTTTTAAGTCCAATAACCAGAGTTGATGGGGGATATAAGTACTTATAACTATATTAACTATAGCCAAAGGGGATAAATCATTATAAATCAACTTATAACTGGGGGGCACCATCCTGTATATTTCAAAGGCAATAGACGGCAAAAGCCATGGGTTTCCCATGAAGTCGTTCCCAACCAGCCGAGCTTCGCCGCGAACCCTGAGCTAGAGCTCTTGAAGACGCTCAACGCCAGAGCCACAGGAGGAAGCCAGCGAGCGAAGCGAAACGCTCGACCTGCGGTGGGTGGACGATGGGCTTGGATTTCCAAGTTCGCCAATTTCTATGGTAATTATGTGATCTTATAATATATTGTATGTGTATTATTTCTATAGCATTTATATTGAATTATATTGAAATGATATGTGCATGAAATGACCATTACCCCTTCCCATGTTTACATATCTTTAGGATGTCTTGGTGAAGAAGCCAAGAAATCATCAGAAATCATGACACAAATCTCCATGTGTCCCCAACAAAACTTCCCCATAACACCAGCCATGGCTGGTGTTTCAATGGGCTTTCCGCACCTCGTGGTTTCATGGCGATGCAGTTGGTATCTTTGACCAACGCCTTGTGCAGCTTGGATGGCCCTACCACACTCTCTTGTGCAGCTTGTGGCTTGTGTCAATGGATTGGTTTTCAAGGGAAATGTTACAGGAAAGCCCCAGTACTTTCATGGGTCCGATGTAGATTTTCCCAACAAAACCAATCCATTGATGCTGGAGCAGCACTAATTATGCTGGTTCTATATGGAGATCGCTTTAAGCAAAAAAAAAAGGCCTTCAGCCTTGGTTCACTGGGCGGAAGCAGGAAAATGCTGCAAAACAAGTGCAATACCAGTGTCCCACTTGCGAAACCGGAACATGGGCGATTTGCTGCTGTTTTTTCTCACTGCTTTGGTTCTGAAATAACGGACATTCATCATGATTCATCCACGGCGATTCTGTGGGCCATGAATCGTCTCCAAAAACGCTCGAACCAAGAAGCATCACGGCGCGATGGGTCGCTGGGTGGTCGGGTTGGTGTGAAAACCTTTCAACACAGAAACATGGGAAACCGTGGGAAATGCCACAGATTTCGGTTGAAAACAAGGACATGTGGATTAAATATGAGTTTTCATCTTCAGGCTATTAGGTTTTTCATATTTTTCGATTCCAAGTCTGGCCTCCATTTTCCTGTCATGGCCAAGATTTGCACAGTTCTCCCCTGAATAAACCAACTCGGCCATGAAGAGAATCATGTGCTGCTCATTCTGTTCACCAACCCCCTCAACATCCCTCAACACTTACCATCACCTACCCTCTGGTAAACTAACAGTTTGCCATTGAAGCCATGACCCATAGCTATAGTTGATACATGTTGATATGAGTTGATTGCCTATTAAAAATTGTGATCTTCCATGAATTTCTATTGAAGCCATGCTCCATTTCCCCATAGCTATAGTTGATATTCATTGATATTCATTGATTTACCATATAGAAAATGTTGCTTTTCCATGATTTTCGATAGCATTCCTTGATTTACCATATAAAAACTGCTGTTTTGCCATGGTTTTCGATAGCAAAGTGCTAGGACGTTTCACCTCAGACAACGGATCGGATCCCGGCCGCTCTCTGGGATCTCGACCCACGGATCCCGCGGCGCAGAAAGCGTCCCACTTCGGCCTCCACCGTGCCGCGGGCTGATTCGCCAAACTGGTTCACCTGGCGGAACGAAGAAGGGAGGATTCAAAGATTCTAAGTTCTTGGATGGTTCCATGAAATCTAAAAAGATTCTATGTATATCTATCTATCTGTCTGTCTGTCTGTCTGTCTATCTATCTATCTATCTATCCATCGATCTATCTATCTATCTAGCTAGCTACCTACCTACCTACCTAGACTACCTAGCTACCTAGCTACCTAGCTACCTAGCTACCCAAACAAATATCACCAAAAAAAATTGCTTAAAATTGAAATCATCCCCAAGTTTGGTGGTCTTATGACACTCGGATCCCACATCATGGCCATGCGCCAAAAAATCCACTGGGGTCACCCGCCAGCGCCGCTTCTAATGCCCGAGCTGCCTGGGATTCCACGGATTTTTCCACATGTTGCCACTGAAAAATTGGGATCCCCAAGTCACCATAGGTTTCAATATGTTTCTGCAAATCGAAAAATGCAGTGGCAGCCAACACGCACTACCTTTTTGCTACAATTGCACCCAGTAGCAGGGCCCACTCGGGCCAACGTCCCGCACTGCACACGGCAGTAAATGAATGGCAAAATGAAATGTCATGTCAATCCATGTGACCACCAAATCCACATCGGCCACTCTCTATTGGATTGACATCAGGAATACGGTTGATTCCTGTAACTGGAAACCCTTCTCCGACAGCGACCACTGGCCTTTTTCAAGAATAGACCGTAACAACGAACCGCTCATTTTCTTGGTAAGGGAATCGGCAACCATACGACTACCTTCGATCCACCTGATTTGACCTTGTGTTTTCTTGAAATCAGATTTGAGAATGGTAACATCTATTGCCGTGCGTTTGTCGTTGATATGTGAAGCCGTGTTGCGACACTTGGACACGGTGTCGTAGAGGCTCTTGGAGTCGGTGATGGCAATGAACGGAGTAGCGGCGACCTGCTCCTCCCACTGGTCCAGCTTGAGGACCACACCTTTGCTTTCTTCTAGAAGAGCTCGAATCCAGTGTAATGACCCCACTCCTTGAATCATTGCCTGGCACTCCGCTGACAAGGTGTTCACTGTGCATCTTTTGACTTTGTAACTCTTCCATGTGATGATGGATATCGGGAAGGCGGCCTCCTCCACTTCCATGCGCTCGTCATAGAAGAAGGTGATGTAACCACCTTGGCTTGCTAATCGTTGATTTTGTAGATATCGCTCGTTGATGGTTTCCTTCTTCCCCTTCTCTGCATTCTTCTTCAGAAATACCGTCCTCCCAGTCCACGATTTCTGTCCGATCAAGTCTTGGCTTTCTCGGTGATTCCATTGGTCTTCACGACTAGATAGTTGATCATCAAAGATGGTGGTCCGGTTATTCTGTATCTCATAGAGATCTGGTCCTCCGTGAGCTGAGCCTGGATGAAAAAGGAGTCGTCGTGGTTGTACGTGCTTTCGAATCCACCTGTCCTTTTCTTCGATCCAGTAGTCACGCTCTGACTCCTCTTGCTCCTCGCTCTTCACGTTTCCCCAAGAGGCGTCAGTGATCGTTCCCACTCTCAATCTTTCGATCGGGATCGGTTGAATCACTATCCCCACTTCCGGAGTCTTGAGGGCCTCTCGAGCAAGTGCATTTGCCTCCAGCAAATCCTGGATATAGGGAGTTGGCATGCTCTGTTGTAGGAGGGCCGTCCGACCTGCCAGGTCGGGTCGGGTTTCTTTACTCAGCCACGCTAGAGATCCGAGTAGACCACGAAGTTGAGTGATCTCCTCCTTGGAACAGAGTGACATTTTTCTGCTCTTGCGTTCTCGTCCAATTGGGATCTCCTTGATCTTCTCCTTGGTGTAGAGCGGCTGATGGATCAGAATACTGCCGTCCTCCTTGTACTTGATCTCCTTGCCCACGAATCTTCCGTCTCCCTGGCTAAATTTGCCCAATCGGTAGTGTTGATTGAGCCATCGCATTTTCTCCCAGTGTAGTTCATCTCCACCATGTAGTAGGTCATCTGTAGCGACCGAGACAATGCCTCGAAGCTTACGTCCTTCTCCAAATAGCAAAAAGAGGCATGGGTCCGCCACACTGGCTTCATAGCCAAGTTCCTGCGTCAGAATCCGCTGGAGATGATTGAACCACTGAAAGGGGCCATCCAGTAATCCATAACAACACTTCTTGAGCTTCAACAACTGCCGAGGGTGACATCCGGGTAGGCCTTCATGAGGTAATTCTGCGTAGATCTCCCGTTGTAGGGCATCCCCAGAATGGAATGCCTGTGTGAAGTCGAGATAGCCTGGGATCCATCCGAGGCTCGCCAGTATCTGAAGAGAAAATAGGACAGTTTCTCGTCCTACTTGAGGTGTTGTCACTTCTAAGTATTCAGAGTTCTCTTCGCTGAATCCCTTCATCACATGCCTGGCCTTTGCCTTTCTGCTGGCTTCTCCCTCATTGTTGATTAAGACTCCTTCCGTCTTGGCCTTCTCGATGTCTTCGACCTCAATCGGTTTCTCCGTCAGCACATATCGGGATTGGACAATCTTCTCGGCTTTGGTTCGGCGGACTTCTTCAGAGGTTGTTCGATCCAGAATCTCATATGCTCCTGATTCGATGTTGTTCTGGATCTCCTTCTGAATGGCTCGGTCAAACTTTGTCCGCATCTCCGCCGTAAGGTGCTTGTAGAGAATCTCCTTCTTGAGCTTGTTGGCGATGGCCTTCTCCAGGGTCTGCATGTAGACTTCCAGAAATTCCGTCCTCAACCTCTTCGCTGGTCGATCTTCCTCCTCTTCAGGGCCGGACCATGTCCGGGTCCGGTGGCTTCTTCTTTCTTGTTCATCCTGACTGGCATATGGTTCCGCCACCGTGGGGTTCGTCACTTCCTCAAAAATAGGTTCGTTGGGGGTCTCAGTCTCCTCTGCTTCATGGGGTACTCCTCGATTCTCATGTTCCTGCTCCTCCAGTCGAGGTCGAACTCGTCTTTCCCCCGCCTCTGGTGGCTGTTGAGGCCTCGGAATAGTACTGAAGATAGATCGGCCAACCCATTCTACTTGACCTTCTGGTTCTGCTTGTCCGGGTTGCCAGTGGTCCTCCTCTTCATCAACGGTCGTTCCATCTAAGGATCTCATCACGGTCTTCCTCTTTGGTCCAATCTCACTGGTCTGAACAGGACAATCATGGCTTGCCTCCTCGGGGTTGAACTTGTTCTTCCTCAGGTTGTAATGGATCCGAACCAGCTCTCCGGTCGTGGGATTGTAGCGCCATTCATCGGGTCCGTCTCTTTGCACGACCTCTGCTGCCTTCGTTTTCTGTCTCATTCTCAAACGGGGTATTACCTCGTCCGCATAGTCCTCCAGTGCTTGTTGACGATCTTCATCCATGGGCAGTTCCTCCTTGGTGAGGTCGATGAAGCCTTGTCGTGGTGTTTGTTCCAGTTCTTCTTTTGTCTTGGCAATGTCGTCAATCCATTTCGAGAGCGACAGATGCTCCTCCTCGTTGGCATGTCTCAAATGCTCCGGGGCCGCCTTGACGATGTGTCCCCTGTAGGATAGCCAGACCGTGGTAGGCTGTGCTGTAAGTACCACTCGAGCAGGGCCCCGCCAGAAAAACGGCTTGTCCTTCAAGGCCCGATCCATCCCTTTTCTCCAGAAATACACCAACTGTCCAACCTCAAAGTCACGTTGTGGTCTGGGTCCGGCATGTAGAGCATTCCTCAGTGCTTGCGAACAGTCCGCTTCGTGGAATGCACGGGCAGCAGCCAGTCTCATCGCCTGTGCTGTTTGAATGGCTAAATCGCCTCCAGATGCCTGTCCCAAAGTGGCCAAGTCATCGGCTCCTCCTGTAACCAAACCTCCGGGTACTCGAGGTGAATAACCAAGAACTCGTTGAATGGGGCTGTAACCGGACTTGTTCATCAACCTGTTACAGGTCATCATTGTAATATCCACCAAATGTCGCCACTCCTCCTCATCGACGCACGTATGGTGTTCCAAAGCCTTGGAAAATACCTCCTTGAAAGTCTTGCCGGCTCGTTCGGTAATGCTGCGTTGAGTTGGCATCTCCAAGGATGATGGCTCATAGTAGGTGGAATCGACCTCAGCTCCAAAGACGAAGGCGCCCTGAAACTCCTTGCCGAGGTCAACGTAGACACGTTCAGGAGGTCCAAAGAAACGCAGCCACTGAAGATAGGCTCTTCGAGCTGCACCTGGTGTGTGGCTCTCCAAAGGGATCACCATCTGAAACCGTGACGCCCAGCAGACAATATTCAAGGCCATTCGAGTTTTCTTTCCCAAAGTGGGAAGCCAGACCGTATCAACCCCAACCACTTGGTTCACTTGCCACTGACGAGGTGGGGCTGCAGGTCTTGGTGGTTTGACCTTCTCGTGTCTGGCACAGACCGCGCATTGATGCCGCCTAGCCTGCTCAATGGCCTCGGAGCTCGCTCCTGCATGCCGCAGGATCCTCACAAGCCTGTCATTGGCTGGATGTCCCAGTCCGTCGTGAGCCCTTTTGATCAACTGTCGCAATGAGAAAGGTCGTTCTCTGGGGAGATACCTCGGTTTCTCTGCTCGTCCTTCTACAGTCTCCTCAGGAAGCTCCTCAACCGCGTCCGGCTCCACAATGTCCTCCTGCTCTTCCGTGGTGTCCTCCTCCGCAGCCATCATGTCATACTCAGAGACGAACTCATTCGTGGTCACTAACTCATTCTTGATGCGCTGTAGGTGAAGGCAGTCACGTCGAAGGTGTCCAACTTTGACGAAGTCGATGTGTAGGAGCTCCTCCTTGATGTCCCGCTTGTATCCTCGAATAATTGCTTGTACCACTCCTGCAGGATAGCATTGAGCTTGTTTGGACTTGTTCTCATTGCCGTCCTTCCCAATGATCATGTCATGGGAATGCTGTCCATCGCACTTGACCTCTAGCGCCGTCGCGATCTCTGGGGAATTTGTACACCATCCAGTGCTCTTCCGTCGGGGAATGCCTTCTCGTGATTGGAGTCCAAACATGCACTGGTCGCCCTTGGCCAAGTAGACGTCGTCGCATACCATCAAGCGTTGAAGGACTCTTTCCGACCATGCCTTAGATGTCAGGGGATGCTCGATGACAAAGCTGCCTCCATACGAGGCCACTTCCTCAGCAATTTCAACTGCGAACCTAAGTAGAATCTTTGCATTTGTCAGGTTTTTCAGGAATTCTTTCTGTTGTTCAGCGGTACGGCTCGCAAAAGGTCTCAAATTCTGCATGATTGAGTGCCATGTGCATGGAGGAGAAATGACAACCAACCCAGGTTTCATAGTACGAATATATGACCTGACCTCCTGCCTCGTGCCATGTTCCAACAAATCATGTCCTAACGACAGATCAAAAGCTTGTCCTGACATCAACCCCTGCTTAGTGGCCTCAGACTGAAAGACTTCCGGATTGAACAACTCGGCCACTACTTTGGTCGATTTTTCATCTCTGTCGAGAAGGGTAGCATACATGGACAGTGCCTTTTTGTTGGGCACCGGCTTATCGCCGTGTCCTAACACTTCCGACCTAAGTTTGTTCATCCCAGCCGTTTGGACTTGCGACGGCTCTGTACTTAGCAAATTCATAAGTTCTTTCCACATCAGTTCAGCGCGTCCTAAGGCCGCCCTAGCCTGTACACATGCACGCTTAGCAGATTTGCTCAACATGGGATTACTCATCAGGTCACCAGCTGGGTCTACTTGCCCTTGGGATCCGGCTCTTGGCAACGACGGAGACGACGAAACTCCTTGAAGGCCTCGAACTCCTCCATCTCCTCGCGCTGCATCTGCACCTGGTCCGCCGAAGAGGTGGCATTCTCCTTCACGACCTTCGACTTCGCCTCCGGCTTGGGCTTCTGCTGCTCCTCCTCTGTCTTCCGACGATTCACCAGCACCTTGCCGCAGTCGTTGCACTTGACCTTTTCCCACGTTCCGTTGGTGCCCGATCGGCATTTCGTCCCGGTGTGAGGACATAGATGTTGACGTAGTTCTCTCCCTTCCTGCATGGGCGGAGTCACGGATGCCGTCGTCAATGGAGTGCTTGATGCCGCTCCCGCCGATCCGTACGGACGGGCACTCCCCGGAGAGTATCCGGTGGACTTGGTGTTCCGACTCTTGGTTGATTCGGCATCCGGGTCCTTCCAATGTGGTTGATGTGCCGCCCATTGAAACATTTCGCACTGACGTCCTCGAGGAAGGGGGCACCGCCAGAACATCCTCTGGAAGTTTTGATTCTCCTTCCGGCACATCCATAGGTCGCAGATCTCGCCGTGCGCACATAGTGGGAAGTCCGTCTCCACGCCCTCCGACATGTAGTGCTCCGCATCCAACGCCAGCGGTGTCACCGGATTCACTGGGGCGTTGCCGAGACCACACTGAACCCGCAGTCCGAATCCGCCACTTCGGATAGAGTCCCCTTGAGGTCGCGTGGCAGGGGCCAAATGCTGAAAGGTTGCTTCTTCTTCGGGCGCTCCTCGTCCACTTCCTCCGTCGCCTGTAGGTCTCGTCCATGAAGTAGTCCCACCAGCATCGACGTCATGCGGGCCATCAGGAAGAGCAACTTGAGCACCATGCGCGTCCACGCACGCTCGGGGGCCGCCCACGTCGGCAGCTCGGGCCTCACTCGCTTGTTGGACTCCATGGCGTTCAGTAAGAACAGTCGATCGGGCTAGTGAAACGTCAGGGGCCGGAGTTTGGGCAAAGGCTGTGGTGCGCAGCACCTCAAATTCTTCCTGACTTTCAAGTACTTCCTTTTGGACCTCTTCAAGATGTCTTAGTTGCTCCTGAGAAAAACCTGTCAAGGGAATACGAAGTGCCCCGGTCGGCCCAATGTGAAGGTTAACTGAAAAACCGAATTTCTTGAAATACGCTCTAAGGCCACGGCTAGGATCTAGGTGCAAGACAGTCCGACATGCCATGAGAAAAGGAAGGGAAATCAAAAACGGTGCTTGTTCAGAATGTTCACCAGTAAAAATTGCCGGTTTGAGGATGCTTCCCTTCTTGCCAATGCTTGTAGGGATCGTCGCCACATGTGAGGTGCTGGACTTCCCATGTACCGATTTGAAACGATATTCCTGTCGCAAGGTTCCAATCTGCAGTTCATGGGGCATGGCTTGTTGAAGTTTGTTCAAGGTCATCAATCCAATAGCCATCCTTTGACATCCAGTATCAATGGTTCCACATAGGTCTTCATTAGGATCTTGGGAGTCCAGGTTACCAACTCTCTCACTCCAGAAAATTTCACGGCTCACAGCTTCAGACTCAACCCCACAACCAAAAACACCTAAATCACCAACCACCTTCCCTACCAGTGTGCTGTCGGACATATATGCGCCAATATCGGCCGGTCCATTGTCAAAATTCGGGACTTCCGATTGAAAGTCCTTGAGATTCAGATCAAGTGCGGTTCTTGGCTCAGTCAGCGACGCGTCACTCAGTTGTCGATCTCCCGAACGAGGTTCGTGCGCTCCATTTCCATCATCCAGCATCGGTAGATGATGTCCGTGATGAAGGTCAAATCCACCATCTCGACCAAGAGGACCATGTAGCGGATCTCCCGGGTGTAGACGAAATGCTCCACCGTCATCACCAGGGAACTTGTTGGGCTCGACGACTTTGTAGTCCTCCGACACCTCGTTCTCGTCCATCAGGAAGCCGCAGAAGATCGCTTCCTCAGTGTTGGTCGGCCCAGTGTCCTTCTCGATGTAATGGGTTTCCTGCGTCACCTTCTTGTTCTGGTTTTTCGGACACTGAGCATCTTTGTGCCAATGGCCAACCTGTCCACATTTGGAACACCGACTGGTAGCCTTCAAGGCCTCGATGGACATCTTGTAGTTTCCTCCTCGAAGTCGTCCGGTCATAGACATGTTGTTCGAACTGCCTTGGCTGCCAGAGCTGCTCGTGTTCGACTTTTTCCAGTTTCCATAGCCTCTCGCCAGTTCCTTGGCCTTCTTGATCCTTGCGCTCTGAACAAAGGTCTTCTTCCGGTGAATCATAGTGTTCAGGACTTCGGCAACTTCATGCTCATCCAAGATCTCATCCTCTGGCACCTGGGAGTCGTCCCCCTCATATTCATCCGCGTCCTCGGACTGGAGCTCGTAGAGCGCGTCCTCCATGAGGTGGATCTCATCGGGGGCCGCCTCGTCCTCCACGTAGTATGCCCCCGTAGAGGCCTTCCCAGAAGCGCCAGTACGCTTCTCCTTCTCGATCCCCACGTCCTTGGCCATCAACTTCATCTCGTGCTTCCTGGCCCATTCTCTCACATCCGTTGGTAGGATCGATCCTCTGGTGAAGGAAAGGAGGTTCTTAATCTCAGAGTCTCCGAGTCCAAGAGCCTGGATTAAGAGGAAACCCAGGTACTTGTCCGGAAGAAGCACTTGATGCTCCTTCACCTTCCGGAGCGCTTCTTCCCAGCGGCTCCAAAAGCCTCTGAGAGACTCATCCTTGCCTCTCTTCATATGGTAGGTCACTTTGGAGAGTGAAGCCAGAAGATCTTCTTCCCGGTCTTCTCCGAAGTTCTCGGGCTGGTTCATAGCCTCCAAGAGCAAGTTTCCTCCCTGCTCATTGTTCAGCCATGCTGCATCCTTTGCCCAGTGCTTGAATGCCTGGAATGGCACTCCAGACAGTCGCTGTAGTATGAGCGGGCCCTGCGCTTTGGGTTTGGCTCTGGTCGTTGCGATCCAGAGTCGGCATTTGATGAGCCAATCCTGGAAGGATTGACTCACTCCATCCCACTCGGGAGGTTGTCCACCGCCTCCACCTCTGTGATGGCGGTCATCATCACTATCATCATCGCCTCGGCGATTTCCTCGGCTAGTCACTGGTCTAGCTGACATGGACCCCACCTCGGCGCTGCGTCCACCACGTGCTCGACGTTCTCGAAGAAACTCTCTGAACTCGTCAGAGTCGAAGGGGTCCTCGTCCTCCTCCGCTGCAGCGGACGTTGCCACATCCGGCATCGCCGCTTCACCACCATCCAAGCTGCCATGCGACGATGGCAAGCGAGCCATTGCTCGCACCTATTCACCCAAAGGCTGGAGCTTGTGCTCCGCTACCACTGCAAATCGAAAAATGCAGTGGCAGCCAACACGCACTACCTTTTTGCTACAATTGCACCCAGTAGCAGGGCCCACTCGGGCCAACGTCCCGCACTGCACACGGCAGTAAATGAATGGCAAAATGAAATGTCATGTCAATCCATGTGACCACCAAATCCACAGTTTCATTCAATACTGATCTCATAACTTGGATGATTTGGAGTAGCACCCATGACCTATAGGACACCTCCAATTTTTTTGGGGGTTTCTGAGATATCACAAGTGACTTATTTGAGGCTCAAAATCAGAGATCCGGAAGTCCATCCGCAGCAAAGTCAAGTTCCAGCTGATGGTCCTTCAAGGGTGGATGCTTCCGAGTTTTGCCGAAGACATATGTTTTTTTTTCAGCCCCCAGATATCATATCCCATCAGTTTCCATATTTCTTTATCATCCTCAAAAGGTCCATATAAATGGATGGTTTCAATCCCATGAAAATATGGTCGATTCCTGCTAGATTTGGGGATCATGGATCCGAACTATTGCTTTATTTTCACTGGTTGGTGGTTGAGGTTTCAACCCCTCTGAAAAATGATGGAGTTTGTCAGTTGGGATGATGACATTCCCAACTGAATGGAAAGTCATAAAGTTCCATGGTTCCAGTCACCACCAACCAGTTTTCACATTCTTCTCCCATAAGTTTCCAAACATGGCCTTTGAGGGCACCATATCTCCGCATCAGACCATGACCTTGGCGCGTCCACTTAGCCTGGTGATTTTGGGTAACAAGCCACCCAAAACAACCTGCCAATTTTTGGGAAACATATGGGAATGTAAGCAATCAAATCAATAAAAACAATGGGATTTCACCAAGAAATATGTGTGAAGAATTATGAAGTTCAATGGCTTTGGGCTGGGAATTGAAAATCATTGAAACACTGAAAAATTGAATTCAACCACCTCACAGCGTGGATAGTTTACAACCTATTTTGTCTCATAGCAACTTTCATTCAGCAATCTCACCAAGAGCCGGTCTGAAGTTCAATGGGCTTGGTTTGAGGGAAAACCTACAGGAAACCATGATTCTATATGATTCTACGTGATTCTACATGATTCTATATGATTCTTCGGGGCGCCAAGGTAATAATTATATGAAACCATGCTGGACATCATTGGGTTTAAGGGAAAATCGTCAGCGTGAATGCGGTAAACCATTGGTTCTGACAATCAAATGATGATGAAAGGGGGCCCCAACCTGAGCAGTCTCTCAAAAAACTGGAGGCATCTTCCACAAAGAAAATCATCAGAAATCATCTGAAAACATCTGTCGATCCACCCAAAGACATCTAGACCATCTAAGAACCATCACAAAAACCATCAAAAACCATTTAAAAAAAACATCAAAAAACATCAAAAACCGTCAAAAACCATCAAAAACCAATCAAAAACCATCAAAAAACCATCAAAAATCATCAAAAACCATCAAAAACCATCAAAAACCAATCAAAAACCATCAAAAAACCATCAAAAAACCATCAAAAACCATCAAAAACCATCAAAAACACATCTCTGGAAGTAAGATCCTTCAAAATCCCAGTGCTTTTCTTCCAAGATGCCCCCTGGCCCCCGGGTCTCAACGGGTCGACCAGGACTGGAGCCGAGAAGTTGGACGTGTTTGAGCGATACAAAAACATCATCTACTCCTGAATAAGTTTCCCAAATATGTGGAGGTACTTGTGTGTACATTGTACATATATGAATATAAAATTTTATATACATATATACATATACATTATTTATATATATTAATTAATTAATTAATTAATTAATTAATTAATTAATTAATTAATTAATTATGATATGAATAATGATGAATAATGATGAAATATCTCCTGATGCAGCAGGTCTCTGTTGGACACAGCTCTGAAATGCTCTCAAGATCTTCTCCTTTGCCTTTCGAAAGAGCTACACATGCAGCACTTTTTTGGACACAGCTGCGACAGCGGATTCTAAACCAAACCACCTTTGGGCTCAATCTAGACCGATGGATCCTAAAACGCAGATGTCGACAGATCGTGATCATCGACACTATCTGAAACTGGATGATGAGGTTGAGAAAGAAAACTGAAGGGCTAAGGCCTGGGGGGTCCTTGAATAACTCCTCTCATTTTCAATGGAGGAGTTGCATTCATCCGAGTCCTGCATCGTCGCCGGGTGCGATGGAGAGAACCACCGAGACTTGCACAGCCCGAGAAACCCCAAAGAAAAAAGGGCACAGATGGGCACAGCCTGGTCCGCCAAATCGGAATAACCTGGGAGCAGCTTAGGTTCGGAAATCATGACGCAAAATTTCGATGCGACCATATCAATATCAAGAGGAGATCAAGACTGAACATGTTTATAGCAACCAAACACCAAAAAAAAAGGATAAGAAGATAGAACAGATTAGAACAGTCATGTCATTTACCACTGTTTCAGTAAGTAGGACTCGGTTTCTCTATGTGTTTTGGGGCGTTGCTATAGATTTTCCATGGGTCGGCCTAAGTGTCCCACGGTACTTCGCACAGCTGTACAGGACCGCGCCAACAGCCGAGACCTGAATCTGATCGCTGCGAATGAATCACCCGGGATCACCTGGAATCATCGATATCTGATAGACTTACCATCTGCTTATTTATATACATATATACATATGTATGGATAATATGATCATGGGATTATCATGTATCATGAAATTATAATGGACTTACCATCTGGTTATGACTAACATAGCGAACTATAGAAAGATCCACATTTTTTAATAGGTAAACCATCTATTTCTATGGGCCATGGCTTCCATGGCTATGTTAAATAACTAGAGGGTAAGAACATCTTTCGGTGCCAAATGTTGCATGGCATTTATGCCTTAAATTTATATAACTTGAAAAATAAACCAGAGCTTTACGATTTTACATCCAATGGTGTGGCCCCCAAACACCCCCAAACCATGGCTATGTTGACTTATAACTTTGTCAACGATTGTCAACTAGATGGGTTGGTGGGGAATATAACATTTTTATAACTGGTTGGTGGTATACCTACCCCTCTGAAAAATATGAGTTCGTCAGTTGGGATGATGAAATTCCCAACATATGGAAAGTCATAAAATTCCATGGTTCCAAACCACCAACCAGTGATTACTAACCATTACTAACCATTATTAACCATTATTAACCATTATTAACCATTGTCAAGTTGGAGGTTGTGGCCCACGAAGTCCAAACCCAACGGTACGTGCCTAGGAGGCACCGCGGCTCTTTTCCAAGAAGCGCCGCAAGGCGTTGCCACGCGATGGCGTCAAATCGCCCACCACTGTTATGATTGGAAACAGCGGCGGAAATACAAAAGAGACATGCGTTCCCAAGTTGCACAGGTTGCAGCTGCAAACTTCACACAGGGGAAAGAAGGTAAAGAATTGAAATTGAAAAGTGTGCTTCTTTGGCACTTTTGGAAAATGGCGGTCACACGCCAGCACTGCTCGAAGAACCAAGTGCACTCCTTCGTGCCTCTTCATCCAGTATCGCTGACGCTTCAGCCAAGACCTCAGGGTCCTCATCGCTGATGCCATTTGCCATGAAGGCGTCCATGTCCTGGGCCAACGTTCGCTGGTTCAGGTCGTGAATGTAGGGTGTCACATAGTATGACGCGCAGTTGTCGCACGCATACCGTTCTATCACCTGGCTGTTGTGCAGCTGATAGCATTGATCATCCAAGTGCCAGACACGTCCTCGAGGAGCATGGTACGTAGGCCTTCCAACTGTGCATCGATTGTGAGCATGGTTGTGGGCTTCTGAACGTGCACGTCCAATCACGTCCTTAGCCTCTATGAAGAGTGCCCTCAACCTTCCTATTTGGCGTATGTAGCCCATCTTGTGTCTCTGCATGCGCACACACTGTTGGTCTTCCAAACATCGAAGCTGTTGCTGCAAGCGCTTGACCTCACGGTCGGCCAGAATTGGTCCACCAGGTAAGCTCAGTTGCTGAACCTGTCTCACAAGTTCTTCCACCTCGCCCTTCAGTGCCAGGTTTTCGATGGTCTTCTCTTCAAGGCGAGCTTCCAAACGGTCGCTTCGGATATGCCTCAACCTCAAAACGTGGTTGTGGCCAATCCACCATCCATGCATCCAACCCATGATGTACGTGCCAGCCACGAAGATCAGCAACGCTAGGAGCACAGCTGTGTCCCAGACGTAGTCCCAGAAGTAGGACTTCTCTTCGGGAATGATCTCGATGTGGGGGCACATCTCGGTTGAGATGGGATCGCCCAGAGGTTGAGCCATAGCACCAGGTGGCAGCCATAAGGCAAGCAACGCAAGCTTGAGGGCAAAGCGCAGCAGTGCATGAACCATCCAAATCATCCAGTCATCCACATACTGTGTCTCCTGGTCGTAGGGGACGAGGTCAACCTGCGTGTCCGTGATCGGCACAAGGTCGTTGATGTTCACGTCATGGTCATGACGCAGCTCTGCTGGGGCTGTAACAGCCATGTCGTGGTCTTCCAAGATCTCGTCATAGGTGATGGCCTCATAGATGATTCGTTCATGGTGCTCAGCAAAGGTTTCGATGGGAGTTGTTTCATTGAGCTCAGTCTCCTCTGGGACAGTCTCCAGAGGTTTGGAGAACTCATCTCGGCTTGCAATTCTGTCTGCAAGCTTCTTCTTCTTGGCAGCGATGTAGTTGGGATCCCAGGACAGTTTGATGCGTCCATACCTCAAGCGGTCAGCAAGGAGCTGTCTGGTTGCCTCCTTGGTGAGGGAGTCGGCGTACTGCCGTTCGCTCGAAATCCATTTGAGCTTGCCGCCAAGAGCTTCAAGTCCTTCTCGAAGAACCTTGATCTCCAGCCCTGTCCTCTTGTCGGTGAGGCCACTGCTGAGGCTTTCACGGTGATAGCTGTCGTACAGTGCTTTGGCATCCGTGATGAGCGTGGGCTCCAAAG